ACCCGGTACATTTATAAACATCACCCGCAATCGTCAGCGAAGGAGTATGCGATTTTCGGAGGCTGCAGGTGGAGGATATCTCTCTATTGTGCCGTAAGAATGTGCGCGGAGGTGTTGCGATCAGTGGATGCACCATCTGTGTTGCTAGATCAGGACGCTGGCCCAATGCATGTTTATTGTGTCATTGCTAATTATTTCTGGGGCGTTCCGAATTCGATTACTTGCGCTTCTTGTCTTTAGCTTTTGATTGTCCACCGTTTTTTCTCCCTCTTTTCCTCCTCCCGCATTATCATGTTTTAATTCCTTGATCAACTGCTGTTTCTTCATCATGTCACTTCGCAGCATTAATGCAACAAATAACTTCTTCGTTCATCTTTGCTGCAAATTGGCATATGGTTCTATTTCCATTTTGCAGTATTTTGTTAGAATACTGACGGCCGTTACCGCAGAAAGCAAAAAAAGAGTATTATGGAAGGATATTGGATGATTAATGAGGTTGCGCACATATTATGTGCAAAATCTCATAGCAAAGAAAGTACTGTTGCACTCGGCGCGCTCCCAAACTTATTTTGCCGAAAAAAAGACACCATCCTTGGATAGGCTCAGTTTACAGCCCTTGAGGTTATCCACACCTCCACGGAGTTCTCCAAGTATACCTCTTGGAACCCTACCCAACAAGATACACACCTCCTGTTCTGGCTACGCCCCATATTCCTTCCATATATAAGCCGAAATTTTACGTATAAAACTCATTCTTCGTTCCACTTAGACTGAGGGGGTCTCCCCCACTCCCTCGCCCCCACGGGCCAGGCTTATAAGAAGGATGTGCGGGGGCGGGGGGAGTTAGGCTACGCTTTAGGTGAGACCGGAATACTGGCAGGTACATGGATGCAGGAAAATGTAGCTTTGTGTATTTGTAATTATTATTGAAATATGTTTTGTAGATTCTGGTACGATAGACTGACTAGGTACCTAGGTTGCAGGGATGCTATAGAATTGTTGTAGATTGCTGTGTGAATATATGTAGATGTTGTGCATACTGTATTTAGCTTTGTTATGGTTGTCGCTGTTTTGCTGTAGTGATTATCACATTGGTTTAATAACCCTCGTCTGAGAAGCGTTGGCGGAGATTAGTTCTCAGAAGACGCTAAGGTAATCGCGAACATGCGACGAGTCAAAAAACAATATGTCGAAGAAGGTGCAAAAGGCCGTGACCGCTCGATTTCCAGTGGCGCTATTGCTCCAAACAGCTTTTCCACGGACTGCAGTGTTGGCGTTGGTAGCAGTTCAGCAATACTTCCATGGGGGCTAGGCCGTGGTCGCGGAAGAGGTTTTATCAGCAGCGCTGGCAAGGACAATTCGGCCTTCAACAACGGGTCTCTTCCAGGCTTTATAGGCGACAGTGCCAAACATTGCGCAGTTCGAACTGTTAATGAAAAAGAGGTTCTCGCAAACATGTGACAAGTCAAAAAACAATA